CCATGCTGAAATATCCAGGTGTGTATCAATGTGTGAATGTAAAAATGTCTTCATGTACACACCATGTGCATCTATACAGACATGCTTATGTATGTTTGTTTAGTTATGGTCTGGTTGACATGTGTTCAATAAGGGAGCTGTTTCTGTGTGATGAGAGCAGGTTTAATAAGTTTGACTTGCACCTAAAAATGTCCGTACTTTTTGCGTACTTATATCTTATGGAATTTAAATTGTATTTATCTTATGAGCTTTATCAATAGTTTAAAACTTAAGCAACCGCTTAAGGCTTTATTCAGGTTATGGCAGGTTGGTCTGTATAAGCAAGTAGCAAAAAGAGTGACCAAAGAAATTACTACAGTCATCCTCATATTTGTTCATAACGTCCTATTAAAGAAGGGGGGAAAAAAACAGTAGACACTGAAATCAGTTGAAATTGACAAAAGTAATAATAAATACAAATTTATGGAACGTAATGACATTGTTTTTGAATTGTGGTTCAACAGAAACATTAATAAATAAATAAACACACAAGTAAACAAGCATGATGGGACACGTAAACTAATGTTTTGTTGAACAACCCTTTGAGCCAATCACTGCAATCAGGTGCTTTTTGTAACTCTCAGTCAGACTTCTGCACCTGTTGGCAGGTATTTTGGTCCACTGCTCATCAACAAACTGCCCAAATATATCCAGGACAGTTTTGTTTTTTTAAATTATTCTTTTCAACCACAATTCAAAAGCAACGTCTTTCACTAAATTATATTTTAGCATATTTTTATTTATTATTACTTTTTCCAGTTTCTAGTTGTTTGAGTGACTATTGTGAATTTTCCCTTTTCTTTAATGGAAGGGTATGAATAGATTTGAGTACAACTGTATTTGTCCCAGAGCAGTTTTCTGTTCAAATAAATTAACGAGACATTGTGCCACCCCAGTGTGAGTGATGACTGCAGCCTGGTCACCCCAATAAAATCCGTCTGGTTCCACCAATGGCCCGAACACAGAGATGAATTGTAGCCGGTCTTTAATGAATCATCAGCCATCAGATTAAAATGTCACGACTCGCTCCAGGCTCAGCGAAGACTTACAGTAAATGTCCGAGGATCATCAGCGTTATGCTATTAGCACATGATGCAGCGTTATCCAGGGATCACCAGCAAAAGAAAAAAAAAAAACTTCCTGTGTCACGCAGGAGTTTTCTCTTTCCCTCTGTTTTCAAAAATAAATCCCGTGTCTTTGTTGATGAGCATGCATCGCTGTCTTGTCAGAAGTATTATGTGTGACCCTTCTCCATTCAAACAGCTGCTGGGCCTCCAACTAGATGACCTAATTTCCGCTGCAGCCTCGGGCCTTTTCTTCATATGGCGAAGAGGAGAAAGCTTCATTGTTTGCTGTTTTTTTTCTCATTCCTCGCATGAGCGGTGGACAACAACTTTTGAATGAGGCTTTTCTCTTACTGTGATACAAGATGTAACTAATATGGAGTTATGGGGTGAGAGCTTGTGAGGTAAGGACAGAAGAAGAAGTCCTGATATATAAACAAATTAGAAGAAAAGGGGTTAAAGGGGGGTTTACATCCGTGTGCAGTGGGTGACAGCTTTTGTCACTCACAGTGTTGTGCAGTCATATACATCCTTTGCCCTGCAGCAGAGCATCCACTCTTTCTGTCCTCCTTTCAACTCTGAACACTTTCATGAATGTACATATATATATATGTGACAGTCTGTGCTGGGCTTTTGAACAAAGATCAGCTTGCGTGTAACTCCACAAGAAAAACATGTGACACACTAAAACCAAAGCCTTTGATGAACCTGAGACCTTCAAGCAGCCCATTCACACATGCAGATGCTAATTCAGTGTGTGGTCGAGGAACACAACCTTTGTATGATGTTACCGTGTGCAGCGATCGCCAGTGGCCGGCAAGGACGAGACACGGCTGTACCAACCATATAAATTATGCATCCAGCTTTAAGAACATACAAGCCGTCGGCCGGAGGAAGCATCATGACGACAGTTCTCTACTCATGTGTCGACATTTCAGTCAGAGATCATGACGTATAATCATACAGGCCACATGTGATCTTATTCCATAAAACTACAAACTGTGAGTAAGAAGGTGCAAAAAAAAAATGTAATCTGGACATTTGCTAATAGCACTTCTAGCAGAATGCACCTCCTGTAAATGAAAATGAGTAGTTAAACATTTAGGTGAAATGACTGTTACTAATATTATTATGATTATCCATCCATCCATTATCTATACACCACTTAATCCTCACCAGGGTCATGGGGGGCTGGAGTCTATCCCAGCTGACTCAGGCTGAAGGCAGGAGACACCCTGGACAGGTCACCAGTCTATCACAGGGCTACACTTAGAGACAGACAACCAAGCACACTCACATTCACACCTACGGACAATTTAGAATCACCAATTAACCTCAACATATTTTTGGACCTTGTGGGAGGAAGCCGGAGAACCTGGAGAGAACCCACGCTGCACGGGGAGAACATGGAACCTCCACTCAGAAAGATCCCGGGTGTCCTCACCAGGACGCGAACCAGCGACCTTCTTGCTGTGAGGCAACGGTGCTAACCACCGATCCACCTTGCATCCTGTACCATGCTGTCTGAAATAATTTTTTACATACAAGTGGTGGAGTTGTGAACATTGAAGTGTCTGACCACTGTTCTTACTGAGAGTGCAGCTATCTAGCATGCCAACAGTCCATTCTTTTATTTTTCTTGTCACCTGTGGCATCATTTAAGGTAGCCTTTGGTAGTCGCTGCTCAAAGAAGGACTAATCTATGTACTGGACACACTATCGGATCACTGTCATGAATGCAGAATGTAAAATAACTCAGTGGTTGAGAATTTGTCACCAGTTGAACAACTCAAAATTGGCAAAATTTAACCATTTCTAAACTTGGCAATAGAAATGGGATTCTCAAACTTTTTTCTAAGTCAGAAACAAATACTATTTGCATGCTTTTGTTTATTGTACAATACAAACATTTATCTTTTGAAGATGTCCAAACATTGCTGATCTTTCGTAGAGACAGCATCAGAATTTTCAGCAATTTTCAGATTTAAATATTTCTTTGTATTTCTCTTATTATTTCGATTATTTTTGTTGTGTGTTTTTGTTGTTGTCGTTTTTTGTTCTGTTTTTACTTGAGACTGTAATGCTTGTTTTTGATATTTTATTGTCTGGACCCCAAGAAGACTAGCTGACATCCTGGAGTCAACTAATGGGGATCCTTTTAAATTAACAAATAAACAAAACAAATCAGTGACTGTTTTGAGATATCTATCATGTTCTACGAATTCAGTGTCAATTCCTCTGATTCAACATTCAAGAGATTCTTCTGTTACATGCTCGTACGGTACAGGCGGTGAAACACAAAGTGACCCTTCTGCAAGGCTGCACAACAACAAGAAATGATGACGGTCTGAGATATTGAGTGAGATTTTCCTCTAAAATCAATGACTATATCCGTGGTCTAATAATCCTGCTGTAGATTGCAACAAAAGCCGAGCACCCTTTCAGGGTTAGCTCACTTCTAGTCCAAGGCAGCGACATCCTCCTGCAAGCACCACTTAATATGTTTTATCTAAAAACAAGTCGAGGACTGCGTGTCGGAGTATAACCCCGTTTCTTAGTGTTTCCAGTCTTTGCACTAAGCTTAGTTAACTGTAGCTTTGTATTTACTGCACATGTGTGAAAGTGCTTTTAATCTGCTTCTCTAATGCTTTGCAAGAAAGCAAATGTTTAGAAGTCTATCATCAAAAAATGACCCTTTTATCTATATTACCATGTTTACCAGAGCCTTCTTCAATCTACATTAATTAGACTAAGCAATACCCACTTGCTGTGTTATTCTTTTGTTTGTAGAATTACTCTGAACAGCAGGACATGCCACAGAGTCTAGGAAACTGGAAAAATTGACTTCTAGGAGACAGAAAAGCGAGATACACAAAGCCAAGCACACACAAGTGGAGCCACAGAGTCAAAGCCTCATATTGATCTGTGTTCGTGACAAATGACCAAACAGCAGAAATGAAGCTCGTGGTGCAGCTTTCTAAGATGCAACTAGATTTCGCAGGATTCAACATGCGCAGACGTCTTGTGCCGTCCACTTTAGATCCAGCTAGCAGGCCGATGCTGATTGTGTTATAATTGTGCTTTAAGTCTGGATCGGGACAAGCTCGATAAATCATCTTGTGTTTTCTCGCAGCAGATTTCTGTTTGCTACCCGCCCCGGCTCGGAGCCCGTTTGATGGCACGCTCCTTGTTTCATTGGCAGTATTGTTTTGTGGACAGGGACCATTATCCTCGCTGGTAATTCCATCAAAGTAAGGTCATCCACCAACTGGGGCAGACTGCGTCACCGGTTTGGTTGAAAGGTCAAAATAACAGAGTCTTAAAGGTTAAAGTCCTGCAGCAACAGAGCAACAGTGCCACCATTTTCCTTTTGTCCTCTTTTTTTTTTTAAATAGAGCTTTAGCATATTCAGCCATTCATACGTCTTCTCCATTTGATCGCCCACAGCTCGGTAATGGAGGAGAGCATGTTTGTGCTGCGGAGGTCAGTGCTCTCCGTGGTCCTGAAACAAACATCCATCCCTGCCTGTCTGTCTGTCTGTCTGTCTGTCTGTCTCCCTATCTTGTTTATTCAAACTTGCGATCCTAGCTTAAGGGATTCAACACAACAGTCACTAATAGCCCCCATCACCCCTCCCTGCTCTGTCTGTCTGTCAGTCTCTCCAACACACACACACACACACACACACACACACACACACACACACTGGTTCTTGTCGACGGAGGAGTGGCATCACCGTTGGTTTACTTTCTGCTGCTCTCTCTGCTCCAGTGTGTCCACAGAGGCGAAAATGGATGAAACTGAAACAGCTCATCCGTGTCATTCCCTGAGGACTGAAGGTAAGATAACGTTTCTCTGTGGATTTCTACCAAACTACTGCTGCAGGTAAGAACACTTTTTTTTTTTTTTTAAAGAAAACTACCCAAACTTGTGGCACTTATAGCTTTTGAGGCACCAGTAGAGTCTATTTTGGTTCTTAAAATATCACTTCTCTTCACATCTGGTTTGATTTAAATGACACAAAACCAAATCAGGAAATTCTCATGAGTCAAAATTAGACATTATAGTGAATCAATATAATATGAGCAAAAAAAAAATATCAATGAAAATGACACTGTAGAGTCACAGTGAAGGAAAAATTCTGGGAATACAATGTGATCCAGCCATATATCGACTGAAACGCTACCCTCCTCGTTTCAGCTCCCTGAAGAAGTTTCGATTGGTTGTAAATTAAAACAGGCTTTTATTGTCCTCCTGAGGCTGTTCTACAAATGTTTATCTTGATTTCTGCCTTGAGCTGAAAGGCTTCAGTCAGCCATCAGCATCACATCCGGACTCCGGATTCCCCAGTCGCCCTGCTCCTGAGGAATCCCCCGTTTTCATCTCAACACTGTTTGTGAAATTTCAAAACTTTGACTCTTCCCTGAAAACTTTACAAAATCTAAATTTCTGAATCTTTGGAAATAACTTTCCTGACGCTGTCTGTTTGTTTGTCTCCTTTGTTTCTTATGTCTCTCTGCACTCTGGTATTTTTTGCACTTTTCTTCTTTCTGGCTGTGTTGCTGCTCTTGCTTTGGACATTCTGTGGTTTTCTCTCCTCTCCGTTACACCGCTGTGCGAGGGCAAAGCTCAGACTGATGTGAAATTTCCCACTCTTCACATTCAGGACACACTTCCCTGAAGTGACAACAAACTTACAGTAACTAGTGCAATAACAGCAGGAGCCGTTTCTGCAAAAAAAAATAAAAATAAAAATACTGCCTTGAAAAACAACTTCTGTCAAGTGCTGCCTTTACAAATTAAATGACCTCAAACAAAGCCTGAAACAAAGTGTAAGTGCTGCACTTTTTGAAGTTAATTTCATCTCGTGTTTATTTTATATTTACAGTCTTTACAGTTGAGTTGAAATCACATCTGTTCAAACACCCAAACAAAGATGAGCAATTAGAAGAATGTTTGCAATGGAAAGATAAAGTGATCCATAAAATACATTTATGAGTTAAAAGCTGCAACACTTTGATCCCTGCAGTCATTAAACCATCCCGTTGCTGAAACTACATGTGTTTCAATGCCTGCTTCGCAAACAAACCCGTTGTTCCACCTTATCAACGCTAACTGCTGTGTCGGTCATGATATCAAAGACAATGTCGACTTTTTAAAAACCGAGCTCACCCAGCCAGATGAGTGCTACTGGGTCCTCGGAGCATATTACCGGTACAGCTGTTGCAGGCAGCATCTGCTGGATCTAATTACTATGTTTCTGTGCCTGTCAAAGAAATACTGTTTGCCTCTGTGACTCTCTCCAGTAGCCCTGAATACCAATTAGGGAGGTCCAGTAATGTAGGTCTTATTAGTGTGAATGCAGAGAAGAAGTGAGTACAGGCTTGTGAGCAGACATCAATCTCCTCTTCTGTTCCCAACCAGCTCTACATCACACGGAAACATCTTCACTCAGGACAGCTTTTTAATAATAGTGCAGATTAGAGTTCAATATTAACCTCACCGTCCAAAGTAATCTTTGCTGAATTTAAGATAAAGTCGGTGAAACATCTACATGGACCTGACTGTCCATTGAAGCTCTTACAAATGAAAACACCAAAGCACATAAACATATATTCTAGATTCTTTTCAAACAAATGTCCATGAGATGCACAAGAAGCCGTCCTGGTTAACAGTAGAGGCTAAACTACAAGCCAGTCTTTCAGTGTTCATGCATAAAGTTTTGGCAAAGAGAGAGCCCAGATTTTTAACCGCAAAACTCTTATTCAGTGGGCTTTGTCACAATTATGTGACTTGTCTGGTGACCTCAAGTACTTTGGTCGTCCCCAGACCCAAAACCACCTTCATGAAAAGAACTATTGTTTACAGAGGAGCAAAAGCATGGAATTCACTTTCCTTACAGATCAGAGACATTAAAAATATTGGGTCTTTTAAGAGGAAAATAAAGAGACAATAGGCACAGGACACGTGAGAATTATGTTTACGGTGTTGTATCAACTTGCATTTATTGTTATCCATTTACTGCTTTGTACCAGGTTGCATCATAAATGAAATATTTGCTATTTATTTATGTATTTTTAATGTTTTGTAAATTGTAATTTTTTCCCCCCCTGGAAGACTAGCAACCACTTTGTGGAAGCTAATGGGGATCCTAATAAAGAATAAAGAATAATAATATATTCAGACGAGCAGCTGTGAAAAACAATACAGTAACATATGATTCAGTAAACTACATTAGCTCATGGGCTGTATTCAGGTACCAATGTGGCTGCTTTACTTACTGTCAGAACTTCACAATTATTTAACATATTCATTTGTTTCACGTGTTTCTATTGTCGTTGTTTCTGCTCTGAGAGGAAAATATTGTTCAACTAGGTACCTGACATATTAAAAAAGAAGCCACTTCACAATTCATCACTGCACTCATTCAGCTGCGGTCAGAGATTTTGTGGTGTGTTAAAGACATGATTATATTAAAATCGCTCTCTGGTCACTAATTAAACCCAGAAAAACTCAACTCTATGTATCTAAGCTACATACTTACAGTTGTTTCTGCATAAAATAATCCCCTTTAAATAGTTTACATTTAACCCTACGTTATGTGTTCCTCTATCCCATCCCTCAACACTGGCTGCAGCTGGAGCACACCAGCTCACTTACAACTCAAACACTGTAAAACTATAATTCAGGAATAATTCAGCTCCACATGTTGGAACTGAAAACTGATTCTTAAGAAAAACAATGATACAGAAAAAGCCCCATTTGGCATTTGGTGTTATTGAGTGGTACACTGCAGCTTTAAATCAGGCAAGGCTTGGATTGCTTATTTCCTTCAGGATGTGTCTTCCAGCAAAAAAAAAAAAACAAAACACCATATGGGGATGTTATAAGGTAAAAAAAAAAAAAGTGAGAATTGAACACCCAACTCAAAGATGGCACCGTCTCACTTCGATAAAAATAGCTCTCCTGGCTAATAGTGTTCAAAAGAATCAATCTTTTGGGGGAACAAACTGAACTGAATGATCTATTACTCATTTCATTTCAGCTCTCAGTCAGCTGCAAGCCAGCGTACAGGAAAACAAGTCATTGATTCGTTTGTAGGGAGCGAGCGCATCCGGTAATATGTAAAAGAAGACTGTCTCAGATCCTTTCACCGTGACAGAGCGGTGATTAATTCATTGAACGTATAGTGCAGTGATTAGAAGCCGTTCAACACCAGCCATCATTCATCTCCAATCTTCAGCAAGGAAGCTTTAAAAATGTTAAGAATTTTAAATGATCTGGTGAACAAATCTTTTTCAATCACCTTCTTTGCAACACACCGGTCGCTGCTTCATGCTGCCCAACGTACAGGCACTTCCCTGTTCCAGCTGCTGTCCCTGTTCTGCAAGCATTCAGTCTGTGCTTTCTATTATTTCCTTCAATTTAAAGAAATCGCTTTTATCACATCGCAGACTCACAGAGAGACCATGTCAACAGCTTTGCAGACCTCTTTGTAATCATGGTCGTCAATGGGGGAAATGCTTTTTGGCCTGCAGGGGATTTTTTTTTTCTTATCTTGTTGTTGCAATACCTCAAGTCACCACTAGGAAAAAACAAAACTGGCAGCATGCTGGAGTGACAGTAGAGTTGCTGCAGAAATCTTCTTTCTAATGATTTATTGCCGGATTGTTTTCCCCCATTTTTAGTTTCACAGATTTGTGGCCGTTTCATCAGATGTCACGCAGCTCCGTCTTTAGCCACAAAAAGCTTTATATTTGTAGTTTCTTCTTCCTCTAGTGCAGCTTGGGAGGTCATTGATTCCCCCAGAGTCTTACCTTGTATTAACTATTACTGATGGATGTCTTGCTGTAACCCTAAACTTGACCTGAACAAAGACCAGGTGACAACCCTGGAATGTAAATACTCATTCTGTGGGGACCTGATTTTGATCCCCAGGTGAGAGGTTGAGCCCTTTATTATATCTGTGTAAACTGATTCTTATTTCCGCGCCATAATTAATGCAAGCGCACACACACGCTCTAACCCGTGCGCTAACCTTAACCTCACCTTTATTCCCGTATCAGAACAAATCAAACACAGATTTAAAGCTGACTTCAGAGGCTGATAAGGTTACGTCCTGAGAATTACAGCAAAAACGAAACACACAAAAACACACAAGCATACTCACACACGGCAGGTCTTCTTCATCCGTGACAGAAAAATCCCAGAATGGGTCTTTGATGAGTAAATGATAGAGTTAGAGATGCTGTAATGAAGTTTCATCTGGCTGTAAGAGCAGGAAGGAAACATCTCTCAGGTACAGTATGATGTTATCATATCGCCTAATGGAGTCACTTACAGGGTTTTAGCAGTATGCAGCGACCCTCGTGGTCCCAACTAAGTGTCTTCATATTGATTTTCTCATCAGAATACATCAGTTAATCACATTGTTATGCTGCGAGTCTATTCCTGATGTTTCTTGGATCTTTATTTTTTCCTTTTTTTCTTACAAAACACTACCTGTAATGATAATTAATTGTGATATTTTGCTGTCAGTTTGAGTCTCTGGGGTCATTTTGAATAAACAACCCATTAGAAACACAAAAGAACAGGTATCTCCATATGCACATTACAGAGGCTTTTATCCAAACAGCACCATGAGTGCCTGGATTTTGAGCGTGGGTGGCCCCAGAGGAAATCTGTTTGTACCCGCACTGAAACACTCTTTCATAACTGACAGGACAAGCAGTTCCAGTGTCAAAGAAACGTCCCCTTTTTTTTTTTTTTTTTACTTCGCCGCAGACATTAGTCTGAAGATAACCCTTCTTTAGCCTCAGAGAATCCATCCTGTCGTAGCATTAAAACACACACACAGGCTTGTGTATCTAAGAGCAAACACATCAGTGCATGCTCGCTTCTGATAGTTTCCCAAATGACAGGCAGCACTTATTTCATATCCAGGAGCAGAAAATGACGCCCGCAGGATCCAGACAACAACTCGACATTTTTGAATTAGTTCTCATACGCACATTATATACTCTCAGAGGACACTTTGTGACTTTCAGGGTTGAATGGAAATTTTAAATTAGTTCTAGAAGTGTAGGTGGCCTCGTTACACGGTCTCGTTCAAACTGTCAGGTCAGATTAGGCCGGTTACAGCTTCCAGGTCACTTAAGATTTAGGTGAAGAAAGAAGAGAGTGAGTCTGCAAAGAAACCATTTAGCTTTAATCACAAGTTAATTAGACGTAAACTTTTTTATGCAAAATGCAAATTTCAACGTTTACATTCACCTCAGACCAGCTTTAATTTGTTATTCCTGACAGGAGTTTGTGTGATGCTGCTGTGCATTAGTAAACACAGCTGCTGCTGCTGCTGCTGCTGCTGCCTTTATTTGCTCGCTATTCTTCACACATGGACCGAGCCAAAAACACTCAGACACCTGCCAGCTGTTTACACGTTCAAAGTTGATTTTGCATCTGTGTTTAATTGCGTATGTGGAAAAAAGATCCCTAAATACACGGATTCTTTCATAATCTTTGTTGTTATCAGGTGCTGTGCAGATATGACTCAAGCCTGAAGCACCTGTGAGACCACATCAGACATGATGGAGACTCCGAATGCATCGCACGACATGAACAACAGCATCGGCGACAACAGCAGCCTCTTCGCTGGAAGCCCGTACACGACGGTGGAGATCGTGCTCATCATCCTGGTGGCTGGATTCCTGAGTCTGATCACCGTCATCGGAAACATCCTGGTCATGCTCTCGATAAAGGTTTGGGTTTTCTTGTTTTTGATCATTCATGATTAACGAGTGTGATCCAAACATCCACGTCTGGACACCTTGACGAGCGCACCCAGACTTACAGATAAGAACACAACATGTGCAGAGTAGTAATCTAATAGAACAGAGAAAACGCACATCACATTGCACGAAAAAGGATTAGCATCTGACAGGCTGCTCCATGTTGTTCCTCTAAAGGTGAACAGGAACCTGCAGACCGTCAACAACTACTTCCTGTTCAGTCTGGCCTGTGCAGACCTCATTATCGGCGTCTGCTCCATGAACCTCTACACCGTCTACATTGTGATCGGCTACTGGCCCCTGGGGGCAGTGGTGTGTGACCTGTGGCTGGCCGTTGACTATGTCGTCAGCAACGCCTCGGTCATGAACCTGCTCATCATCAGCTTCGACCGTTACTTCTGCGTCACCAAACCGCTCAGCTACCCGGTGCGCCGCAGCACCAAGATGGCCGGCCTGATGATCGCAGCAGCCTGGGTCTTGTCCTTCATCCTGTGGGCTCCTGCTATTCTCTTCTGGCAGTTTATTGTCGGCGGGAGAACCGTGCCACCAGAGGAGTGCTACATCCAGTTCTTCTCCAACCCGGCGGTGACCTTTGGGACAGCCATAGCAGCTTTTTACCTGCCGGTGGCCATCATGATCTACCTTTACTGGCGCATCTCCAAGGCCAGCCGCAGTCGCATGAGGAGGGACAGCAGGAAGGCCTCAGGTACCAGTCTGGGTGAAGGAGCCTCTCACAGCCAGGAGGAAGGCTGTGAGAACAACTGCATCATTGCGAAAAAAGTTCAGGAGGAGGCCGGAAATGGGAAGGAGAAGGAAATGCAGCAGCAGCAGAACGGCAATGGCCCCTGCAAGGAAGAAAAAGTTGAACAAGTTTGCTCCAGGAAAGCCAGCATCCGCCCTTCAACGTCTAAGGACACTGTGGCTCCAACTCCATCACGAAAGAGCTCAAACTGTGGGAGAAATCTAACACAGCCACCTTCCCCGGATAACTCGGCTGCTGACAGACAAAGTCTGGTTGCACGGACTCTGTTGAAGGTAAGTGTGATTACTTTATGAAAACTTGTAGGTTATGTTTCAGATTACAAATATGACCACATTTCATTCATTGCAATAAGTCTTTTAAGCAATAGCAGCGAAGAATTGTAGCGCTGGTTGGTCTAAGCTTTGGCTAAACTGAGATATCTCAACAACTATTGGATGAATTGTCTGAAGGTTCATGGTCCCCAGTGAATGAATCCTATGTAATTTGATAATCCCATGCCTTTCTCAACCATCACCAAGAGATTGATATCTGGAGTTTCTTGTAAAATATCCCAACGTCCATCCGTGTGGTTGCCATTAAATTTGGTCCAGATCTTCATATTCAACTCAGAATCCTCTGACTTTTCCTCAGCAGTCATCAACCATTCCGGGTTTCCCATCGATAGTTAGTCTAGTCATCGCATCAGTATTTAGCATATTTGGCATTGCAAATTTACCCATCAAGTTTAAACATTGGGGTTAAAACATGATTAATATATGAATTTACCTGAGTATACTAAGAAGAGTCAAAACCATGCAAAATACAAATGTACCTGACTAACTAACGCTGTAAGGGAAGACCCTACAAAGCCATACACGGAAAACCCAACAAATCCAAAGGTTCCCTATGAGCAGCATATTTGCAACAGTGGAAAGAAAAAAACTCCCTTTTGACAGGAAGAGACCTTTGGCAGAACCAGGTTCAGGGAGGGCAACCATCTGCCTCGGCCGGTTGGAGTGAGGGGAAAGGGGGGAGAAAAAAGGATGTGACCAACTACCCGTAAAATGAATCATTTAAATGTTAATTAGCAACTGTTAAAGTGGTGTGATAACAAGGTCAACCAAAAAAGGGAACATGGGTGTTAGCATTGCCATCATGAGCATTGTAGCATTTTGACGTTAGAATTTAACTCAACGCCGGCCTGTGCCGAGCTGCAGCCTCACTGAGGTGCTCGCATGACTGTCGGCTCTGCAACTTTACTGTTCATTGCTCTGATCGGCCTTAAGTGTAGAAGACTGTATACTACCTGCTCTGCAACATGCAAAGGTAAAATCTTTCTCCACTCAAAAATGTGTTTGGTAGCTGTTAGTTTTCTTTGATTCGTGTTGGTGCAGTGTGACACTAAACAGATCCTTTCTTCTGCTGAAAATTAAAAGTTATGTTTGACTTACATTGGCAGATGCCCAGAAATAGGACTCCAAATGAAAGCTGCTCCGTGTGTGCTGCATGTTTCAATTGATAATTGTTGGCGATGTCAACATGTCAGCGCTACAACAAACAGATCATTGTGTTTACAGCTTGTTTCTCTGCCTCCCAGTGGACCCAAAAAATTAAACAATACAGCTGTTTAAACAATGACCAAAACTTCCCTCTTCTTCTTCCTCTTCTGCTCTCGTTTTTCAGGTGACAAAGCGTGCCGTGAGTGAGAGCGCCGTGGCAAAGTGGAAAAGGAGGGGCATTTCTTCCAGGGAGAAAAAGGTGACCCGCACCATCATGGCCATCCTGGTTGCTTTTGTTGCCACGTGGACGCCGTACAACGTGATGGTCCTGATCAACACGTTCTGCTCCGTCTGCATCCCCAACACCCTTTGGACCATCGGCTACTGGCTCTGCTACATCAACAGCACCGTCAACCCGGCATGCTACGCCCTGTGCAACACCACCTTCAAGAACACCTTCAAGCACCTGCTTCTGTGCCAGTACAAGAAGATACGTGCGGCGCGATGAGGGCGATTGTGACGGAGTCGGAACAACGTGATGCATCTTGCAAAGAAAGACGACAAATACCGGAAACATGTTGTTGAAAAATAGACTAGGTGTGTTGTTGTTGTGCACTTACTCCATTTATTTTTCAATGGTAGAGGTTACTCCCACTTCCATGGAAGATGGAACCATGTTTCAATTTATATTTGTACCACAAACTTAACTTTTAATGATTTTAATAAAGACGTGGCATTGTATTATAAGTCTCAATACATTTATCAAGCTTTACTGACTCCTTATTAGGGCTGCCCCCAACCAAAGATTTCCGCTAGTCATCATTAGTTCAAGCCATCAGTTTTCTAGTCATGACTAATGACTAAGGCTGGGTTGCTTAGATGTTTCAAATGATAAGCCATGTTTAAGGTCAACTAGTCTGATCCACCAGATGTAGACTTTAGGTATAAGCCACACAAGTGATTTTCTTCTCCCCTTCCAACATCTATGAGTTTCAAAGTCCCCCAAAACCTCCAGACATCAACCTACCGCTCTGAAATTTTTATATTGTAATGAAGGTTTGGATCATGCAGTAAGACAGCCCTGCATGTTTTTCAGGTGAATTAGCCATTTTGATGACAGTGCTCACCTCCCTGCATGCAAATATCAGCAAAACACTTTTCGATGGGGCACCATTGCTGCATCCTGGGCTTAGCACTGTCCATTGGGATTGGTTTAAAGAAACAAGGCAGAGCTGTTTTTTGATAGTGAGGTGCAGCCAGACCATTCTACACAACTGTGTCAGCGAATGGTCTGGCAATGTGACACAAGAGGCTGAGAATAATGTCTGACTGCAGAATTTGTATATGATCCCACTGTGGATTTCCTGCAAGCCATAAGTAACAGGACCAGCAGTGTATATGACAATGTCTGTGTAAGTACGAGATTTCCAGCAACCAAGCTACTAATCAAAACTCAAGACTCTTTGCATCAACTAATGTTTGGTTGACTATTACGGGGCAGCCCTACTCTTAAATGTGAATAGCGACATTTACCTAAGTGTCTTTTGTTGTCGGAGTTTTACAACGTTCCTCTTCTCTTCCTCCACATAAGCTTGTACAGTATGTCGTTTAAAATTGTGGTTAATGTGAAGGTTTTGTGAGACCAGAGCAGTGATTTTAAAGTCTATTACCAAAGGAAGGTGTAGAGATGGACACTGTGTTATTGAATCTGTGTTACTGAAGCGTTCTGGCCGACGTTGAGCAGTAAAAGAGGAAAAATCTGGCAAACTGAAAAGTCTGTCTGCATAAAAGCTTGTCTTCAAATTGAATTAAGAAGAGAAAAGACAATTAACAGCTGTAAACAGATCTGTGCTGTGTGTGTGTGTGTGTGTGTGTGTGTGTGCGTGTGTGTGTGTGTGCGTGCGCGAATGTTTCCTCTCTTGTTAGATTTACTGTCGTATTAAGCTGACATCTGACATTAATGGCATCTGTAATCCGTATTGTTGTGACGTGAGTCCAAATGTGACATTTATCCACATCTTCCCTTCTTTTTAAATGTTTTCTGTAAATAAAAAAAGACGATGACAGTACGTTTAATTTGGTGTCAATATTCTTTGTCATATCTTGTCTGTCCTGTGTTTCACTGATTTCTGCTCAACACTTACAGATTTCGACTCCGTGTGACCCTGAAGACGAAATATTAGAATCACAAATGCAGCCAACCGAATGAGGGACTGGTTATGTAAAAGCAAAGTTTGTTGTGAAGGAGGATAAGAGCTGCAGCAAAAAGACATATTTACACTCCTCCCAATTCAACACCCCAGTCTGAAATTCCTCCGCTGAACAAAAATGAAGATCAGAGAAAGATTTAGAGACAGAGACTGGATACAGTATTAACTCGGCCTCCCTGCCTTCCCTTTGAACCGGTGCCATAAACCTCCCTCGCAGTCTTCACACCCTGGAGAGAAAAGACACAAGGTTTTTCTGTCTCTGCTGTGGGAAAACTCCTCCGGACGACTGTAGAACTGTTACGCCCTCTAGTGGACCAAAAAGCATCTTGTTGCTATTCATGCGCCTGAAGGCTGATGTGTGGAAACCTGAGAACTTTAACTCTGTCTGACTGTTGCAACACTCTCTCGTTAAACATTCAGGATGTGTGTATGTGACGCTGTGAAGGAGAACGTTTCCTTCTGTGTGTGGTGACCTTCACACTGATCCCTCTCGCATAAAACATAAACTGTAAGCTCAACAAACTGAACTTCAAGGACATGATCACAATTTTTCAAGTCTGTCATCAAACCACAGCCAGGTGAAGATTAAAACAGGTTTTTCTTGCATTTATCCATCCACACTGGCCATTTAAACGTCTCTACATATTGTTGGCCTCATCGATCTGTTAATGTGACACAGTCAGACACAGGTCACTGCCACATTAATGTTCCTCACGGTTTCGTTCAGACATCACAGTGACAACTAGAGCCTCTGTAGGCGCCCCACACTTGCCATATGTGCAACACTGGACAGTACATGAAGGTTTAAGGAGCTACGAATCAACAAAACGCTAAACTAGCGAGCTTATCAAACTGTTCATATAACTGTGGCTAGCTTGAAATCACTGTTAGCAACCAAGTTTACCACTCAACAACCAACCCAACACCGTTATTTTAATATTTATAGTAATAATCCCCCAACAAAGATTATCGAACTCTCTGGGGCAACTTTCTTCTTGCTCTGTAAATGTTAAAAGGACCGACTTAGAAAGATTGTGACTTTTAAGGAAAAGTAATCAGGCTTCTCATTCAGACCAACATGTTCAGATACCAGAGTAGATGCTGAATCGATTATTCGATTAGCTGTCAACTGTTAGATTAATCAGCAAGTTGTCTGTGAAGATTCTCAGTCATCCAGGTCATGGTTATTCTGGTAGATTAATCGTAGCAACTGGACTTGCTTGAGTTCCTTGAAGACGTTTCACCTCTCATCCAAGAGGCTTCATCACTTCTGACTGACTAGTTGGGAGTTTCAGATACTTATTTCCTTAAGGAGCCAGTTATTTCATATTTTATATTTCACACCTAGCCACAAAAGACCCTAACGAACACCATTGTGGCAGGCGGAGTACAAACGACTAACCCCCAACTGAAACTGAAACTCAGGTGTTAATGGATCCTTAAGGATATAAGAAAAAAAAAGGGTCAAAACTCTTTGATTACAGTCTCCCGAAATTAAATATTTATTGGCCTCTTCACTGCTCTGTGGCAGTAAATGGAATATCTTATTAGACATTTGAGAATGTCATCTTGGGCTTTGGGAAACTTTAGCCAACATTTTATATACCAGACAACTAACCAGAGTGATGGGAGTCAAAGTCTACAGTCTTGGCTCTGTAAAGAAATAAAATTCTATACATGTTATTGAAGTTAATGTGTGAAAATCAAGTGGCAGTCATCCAGATTTGCAGCTATATTAGTGAAATTAGTTATTTCTTTCTCTTTCATACTGAAGCTCACCGGGGAAACACAAAGACAGAATTTCCAGCAAACAAGCAAACCCTGTTTCACTTGCCATACCGGAACCAGGCAACAGTTTTAAGACCCTTACATATAAAATCATTTTAAACTTAAAACCTTAATGTATTTCTGATGACATCTGAGAAATCACGGTGCTTGCGTCAGATATCGGCGTGTAAATCACCCGTTGTGTCTGGAACATCCCAGACGCGTCATCCTTCAGTCTGCCGTTAGACCAGGATGGTGGTCAGTCATCACGGGGCCACTATTGATGTTGGACAAGTTTAATGTAAACATGCCGACGTGCCTGTTTGTTTATAATGTAACCTCCTGTTCATGTATCACGTATGTCTTATTGTGTTTTGAGTCCGAAGCGGCTCAGCAGGCCTTAATGTCTGAGAGTGTAAGTGGTTCTTGTTTAGCATAAACAGAAGCCTTTTAGTACAAAAGACTGCAAGAAGCTGCGTATTGACAATAACCTCCTTGTCTCTGGAAGAAGTAGATAACATTTACAGGTTATTTGTGTGTCAGAAGCAGTGCTCACATCAGTATTTATCCTGTACACACTGCATCTGCGACGAATTGTCTGCTTTACTTTTAGTCAAAGTAACTCAAGAGCTTCTGGTGTTTAGACTAAACACTGGCCCTGAAGGAGGAAACATCAGATGTATGTGGGTAGGGGATGGCTGGGTCACACCTGAACAAGAATCTAATTCACTTCATTACCGGCTGCCAGAGGAGACATGGCAGAGGACAAGACCCAGACAGGAGGCTCCTGGGAGGACCTGGCACAAGCCGACGGGTCTCCTGAACCACATGTGGAGGACGGAGCTGAGCTGAACGGGGAGGCAGCTGAGGATGATTCTGGTGCTGCTGCTGCTGCAGAGGTAAGCGCCAAAGACCAGCAAGAAAAGTGCAGCCCAAACGTGCTGCAGATGCTGAAGGCAGCAGAGAGCAAGTGGACGCCTCAGGGTCAGGACGGAGACGGACCAGAGGCACATAAAGCTGGGACAGAAGAGTTGGTTACTGAAGCTCTTAAGACTGGCATGGTGAGCAAGGACACTGCTGCACTTTCTGACTTTAACTAATGTTGTCAGGCCTGTCTAGACAACGCTAGAACACACGCGACTGTAAGTGTACCTCACAGGATGCGTGAATCTGCATCTGCTTAGGCGGTTAATGATTTTAGTTGCATCGTGCAGGCCTCCAGAAATGTTTGACCAGTACATCCACACTCATACTGCACTAACTGTGTCTCCATGAAAAGACGGGGCAGATTTTATACGTCCAAGTCTGTTTACAGGTGTTAGGAAGCACAGCTCCAAAAGTGTTAGGCTCTTTTACGGTAAAACGGACACATTTATTTAAGTCGTGTGAGAAGAGTTTGAGAATGAAGCAAATCTCTAAGTGTGGACTTAGAAAGACGAGTGCAAATTAACTACTGATGGCCAAGTTGTATCATAGGTAAAGTAGGAATCAGGAATTTTGACAAAGAGAAAAACCTGGAAGAGCCAAAAACTTCACTTCTTTGTATGGCCTCTTGAGGCAGACATCAAAAGAGAGTCAATCCCTATACACCACCATGTTAAAATAACCAACTTTACACCAGAAACAAACATGTTTACAGCCTAGTAGTATGCGTATGAATGGATTGTCTGAGGTGGTGGTTGGAGGCGCCTCTGTCAGTCTGCCCCAGGAATGTGAAAGTGTGTGAATGAATAATTGACAGTGTAAAGCGACTTTGAGTGCCTAGAAAAGTGCTATATAAATCTGATCAGTTATTATTATTATTATAAGACATGTGACAGGTGTTTTCACAGGTGGCTGTACTTTTTATTTTGGCTAAATTTAACACTAAAATCAGTGGAATGCCCCTTAAAGAGACTTTCAGCAACACTGCAGAGCTGCTTTTGTCATTTACTGAACAGAAGACAAAGGATTCAAGCTCCATTGTCTGATCTGCTTGAAGAAACCTAAGCTGGCCTGTGTGTCCATGAATGAACTTTTTTTTAAAACTTTACATTCTATCATGAATAAATGTTCACATGTACATCTGTCTGCTTCCCATTGAAGCCTGGGAGCAGAGTGCTCTTTTCATCTGGGGCCTCAAGTAACACCCGACTTGCTTCTCCTTCCTCAAAACTCTCTCTTCATCTTTACAGTGTCTCCTTTCTATATTTTCCCAGAATTCCCAGCTGTAAGCCTCACAAGGCCTCCATTATTTATTTCCACTTTCTTCTGTCACCTGTTGCGTGGAGGGCGTGGTGTAAAGAGCCTCCCTGTGAACTGTAATCAGTTCAACAGCATCAGCTTGCAGCTCTGCAGGGTTGTCGAGTGTCACTGTGGGAACGCTGTGGCAGCATGAAGAAAGTGTACAGTCTAGTGAACATAACTAAAGCCAAGGACCAGGAGGCAGTTCAGTCCATCTGCATCAAGGTATCACTGCTTCGCTTTTTTTCTTTCTTTCTTTATTTGTTTGCCTTCATTAGAAAAGCTTCTGAGTGAGCAACCACTTGAATAAACTATAAAAGAACAGCCTGTCTACACCTGTGGGTTTTCTAAGCCTTTATCGATTCCCAGGGGAGAGAGAAAAACAAAAAAGGCAACAAATAATTTGTACTTTTTGTGACATATCAGCGCACACAGGGTTTCCCAAGGAGACGTTTGTTACACATTAAGACCCACGGCCGCCTCTGAGTTCTCAGTAGGCGACTTGAACTCAAACTCATTTACTGGACTCTGTTAGAGATCGTTAAGTTGACTTTGACACGGCTGCGCCTCAAAGTTAAATGTAGTTTTGTGTTAAAGATTAAGCAGCCGCTGACGTAAACGGCAGCTGTTTACGAACAACAAATATCTTATGGCGTCTTTGGTAGTGTTTCAAAATGTAGCTTTAATTAAACTTAAAATGAGTGAATATTGGTTTTCCTTATTTATTCCACCTCAACTTGAGATTCGTTGTGTATAGATGTGACTTGAAAACAACATGTTGGTAATTTATGTACAATTTGTTTTAAGCATCATGACAAAAAAATAAAATAAAATCACCCTTTTTTTTTCTTTTTAGCTTTCATAGTGTACTACAGAACAACAAACTGTACAAATTACAGTTCCTTTTGAGGGTTTTTTGTTTATTTTTTTACTTACTTTTTAGATAACATGTAGTATGTAGCTGTCAGGAAATAACAGGACAAAGGCATTAGATTGACAATTAACATAAATCCTTATTATTACACAGTCAACATCCTAAACCTCTTGACTGCATACAATGTTAAAAAAAAATCTAACTATACTAAAGGAAAAAACGGTGCAAGGAAGCACATATTTCACATTACACATTCTTAATTGTTGAAGCATTAAAAGCACAAATGTTGCAGAAGTTTTAACTGAACTTCCAGAAAAAGCATGTGGCTTATGTACGTTTTCTCCCACAAAGCGAGAGTTGGTTTCACTAATTCTCCAAATTATTGTATGCAATGAGATGATGTGATTGAAAAAGAAGCTGTCAAACCTAAAGAACTATGTGTTTTAAATTAGAGGAAAATCAGGTCAAAAATTTTAATTTTTCTTCCCTCTGCACCTTAATAAAATCCTTTTATTTGCTCTGTATTTCTACTGCACTTTGATGCATTTTATTTATTGATGTACCAACTTTTTCACCTCATATTCCAAGTTTTCACCATTTTTAATTGCTCCTAAAAAGGATTTAAGAATTTTTTTCCTTCCTGAAAGTGTTGCCTTTCCATTCAAGTGTTTCTAATGCAACTATAATTAAACAAGCTTAAATGCTGTTATTTTATTCTGAGTGTGACAACAATTGCTTGACATATAGCTGCATCAAAATGTTTACAGTGCTGTGCAAGAGACACTACAAATAAGATGAAGATGCACGAAAAAAAAAACTATTTATACAACCTGCAGAAAACACAACAGATCTAAATCAATATTTGGTTTGAACACCTTTTGGAAAAGCACCAGTTCTGCTAGTGCTCTATAATGACTACATCTGTGGGTTTCATTTAATATGTCGCAGGACTTCCCGTCTTTCTTGTTGTTGTTGAAGAAAGTTCGCTGTGACTCTGGCTGCATGTTTGGACTCACTGTCACGCTGCAGATTCAATTTGGGACTGATCAGATGTTTCCCTGATGGCGCTGTGTGATGAATATGAATCTAAAAATATAAAGTATTATATACAGGATGCTGTCGTTCCTCATTTTCCTTTAATATCGGGTACAATTATTTTGTTGTTTTGAGCCAGAACACTGCAAGAATGCTGACACATGAAAATGTCTGAAGAACATCCTTTAAATGAACCATTTTTAATTCACTCCTCCCTGAAATTTGTACAAGGTCGCCTTGTTATAAAAGATTTGTCACTCAGTCCTAACTACTTTATTTTGTAATCTAAATTTCTGTTTAGCTTGTTCTCTGCATTTTCATCTGAATAACAACTTGTCTCGATAAACACTGATGAAGGACGAGAGGATCCTTTAAAGTGCAGCAGAGGAGCAAATCAGAAAAGCGCTTGAGTGATTTTTATTGAGGATAAAGCTACAGCACATAAAGGCAGGTTTAACTCCTTAGACCTGATTGATAAACATCTTCTAAGCTCTCTGCCGAGTTTGTAACTGAAACTACTCATGATATCATTGGCACTACTTTCTCCAGAACCAAAGAAGACCTTACACTGTTTTCACCAGCTCCCTGTCAGTAAACTGACCTTCATGTATAAATTTAACCAAATGCCTCTAAGCTCTGAGTGTAATACCCTTGCAGTGCACTCTAGCTATATGCAAATCTTTTCTGCATGCAGAGCTGCCGACTCAGCTCGCTTTCATTTTCGGAGGTGAGGTCAGCGTGTGGGTGTGTCTGGTCTGGTGGGTGTGTATCTGTCCGCACACGTGGGTTAGAACATGAACAAAAGCTGGAAAATCTCCCACAAAAAGCCGGAGATTGTAGCTGGAGGCAAGTAAGCCTTCAGTATCCTCAGCTCGAGATCCAATGGAGTCAGAGCAAGTGGACTTGGCCAAGTGGGATCCCTGTGGCAGCAGCCCAGCCTTCAAAGATCCACAATGGATGGTGAGACAGCAACAGATACGGGACAAGAGAGGGAGATGTATGACTGACAGGCTGTGAAGGAGGCAAATCTGCTGTGAAAGGTGGTGCTCATGTGCAAACTGACCAGTTGTGGCCAAATCAGGTCTGACTGCCTCAAGAAAAAACTGCAGAGACTTTATTTTGGTAACTTGCTGAGAGGTAACAACTGATGTTTTTTTATTTTCTCTTCCTGATCTACTTCATTTTATGTCTTCTTTGGTTCCACAGCAAATACAGCTCACTGACCAGAAGCAAGAATTCAACAAACGGCCCACCAAGACCGGCCGGCGCTCCCTGTCCCGGTCCATCTCACAGTCGTCCACAGACAGCTACAGTTCAGGTACGGAAACACGAAAACACACATGCTGGTAAGTCTGATCACATGTCTTTGATGTATAAACTGAGCTGTTTTTTTGGTCCCAGCAGCACGGACCACAGGCCCCAAGGATTAGCCCCTGTGCTTTTCCCTTCGGCTAAACCTTAATTAAAAGGAAAAAGTCTTCTGAAGAATTAGGCCTCTTTAATTTGGTCCTAATCGGCTCCATGAGCCTTTCTCAAACATGTCAATCACTGCCAGAGTTTATACAGACTTCAAAGGCTCAGAGAAAAGACCCACCCAGCTGAAGTCTGACTCCTAACACTGTATCAGAAACAACAATTAAGGCTGGAAACCCCGAGCCAAATCACAACCATCAGGCCTTCCAAATAAATCATGTGTCTGTGTGGTGCTCCATGAGGCCAGCTGATCGTTCCTCATTTCTGTGTTGCAGTGTGCAGCGACAGCTCCGAGGATGAGATTTCTCCCAGGGACAAGGTTCAGAAGACCTCCAAAGGCCTGTCGGACTTCTGCATCAAAAACATCAAACAGGCTGAATTTGGACGCAAAGAAATAGAAATCGCAGAGCAAGGTGCGACAAACAAATCAGAGTTTACGTCTTCAAAAGTGTTTTTTATGCAGCATCTATCTAAAAAGATCCTATAGCAGTAGTACACAATAGGAAGAGATAAAATGCCACAAACATGTATAAAACATGTCCTGTTCATACGTCTGGCTCCTTGTTTGTGATTTTTCAGAAATGCCAGCACTGATGATCCTGAAGAAAAGAGCAGGTGGAGAGAAACCGCTGGCTGGAGCCAAAGTGGTGGGATGCACACACATCACTGCACAGACAGCGGTTAGTCCAATACACACACACACACACACACACACACACACAGAGACGTCATGGATGTACTGTACATGTTGTCAATCATTCAAGTACATTCAGCGTAGGAACCTCAAGATGTACATTAACTGTACTTTGGCCAAATAATTATTAACAAGTGAAGTTAAATGAACTGAACTTAAGAAAACAAGTTCAATAAACTCAGGATATTGAGTTGACTCAACTAGTCACACAAACAGAAGTTTCCTTATTAACAATAAAAACCTACAGCTTCAATCCTTATTTTTGACCAGAGTCATTAAAAAGATGATCTGTGAGGCTGCTCTCAGTTACGCTGAATTGTCAAGTCTACAAATGTAGAGACTGAATTCAGCGTTTGTCCTGGTTCAAATAGTTTTGATTATAATGGGGAAAAAAATCTAAACTTAACTGAGCACGTTTTAAAGAAATACAGCAAGTTTTGACCATATTTGTTTTTTAAAGATACAAAAATAAATAAATGTCCTCAAGTAGTTTCATAGGTATATACTAGTTTTGTTCCTTATAAACTGAATTTAATGAGTTGAGTGAATTCTCAGTAGTTCATTTATTCAATTGAAGTTAAAATGCCACAAGTTTTAAGACCTCTTGTTCTTGTGACGGTTCGTGCTCAGTGACTGTGCGGGTGGACCCAAACGAAAAGGGAGACTGGTTCAAGGGAAAGAGGATTTATTAGGGAAGGTGGTGGAGTGATGGGCACCAGGAGGCAGAAACAAAGTCCGGTGAAGGGGTGCCGGTCGTGGGGAATAACCCGGTGGTGGGATCTGGTGCAGGGATGTCAGTC